TGTTGGAAAGAAATTTTCAGACAGTTCAGTTTTAGATGAGTTATTTAGAATGTGGGTAAGATTGCAATATTTGCTGATATCATTTACCTACATACTTGTAAGATCCACCTTGTTTTAGTGTTATCAATTTTTACTGTAGAACAAAGTTGCAAAACTCACCTACCCTTGAGCTGCATGTTGATCTGTTTTTAATCCTTATAACTTAAGCATGCAGTGGAAAGCATTCAAGGTTTTAAAATCATGCAGAGTGTCTCTTTTTTTTTTTTTTTTTTTTTTTTTAACCCTTTCACTGTGTAATTAAATTTCATGGTCATTCCCATAATGTTAATTATCCACCAAAAATTAAAAAATAAATATCTGCTTTTCACAGCACAAGAATTTTTTTTTTTTTTTTTTCAATGCTGTGGGGCAAATCATTTTTTTCACAGTTAATGTTAACAAAATTTTGAATGGATATGTCCTCTTTAGGGAGAGGTGGCATTGTCTTTATTGCAATGGCAGTCTGCATGAAAGTGTTTATGAAGCCAAGATAAAGATAGACTCTGTGAAAGTACAGAGTAAAACAATAATAATTAGAAAATGATATTTAAAGATTCAAATGTGAACCCTAATAAATATTAGTAAAGACTTAACAAAATATCAGTTTCATATATGCCATAATTTTAGACAGCATATAACAGGTAATTGGGCAAGTAAACTCCTAAATCAATGCAAGTTATAAATTTGTTGCTTCACAAATGTTCAGTTATAGAAAGATCACATTTAAATTTTTTTTTTTTTTTTTTTTCAGGTAAGCAATTTTTATGTTATAAGTTAACTGAGTTTAATGCTTTTCATCAAAAATACAAAACCATGAATAGCTTCTTTGTGCATGAACCCTTTCTAGGTATGTATTTAATAATCATTTATATAGCACCTAAAGATTAATAATTGAAACTTAATTTGCAGGTGGACAGTTATTTTTACAGATATTTCATTTATATACATTAACCTGAAAACTCTAGTCATGTTTTTAACTAGATTGAGATTTTCATATGGATGCCAAACCTGTTCAGAAATATCTAAATTCTCAACCACTTTCTAAGATCGATGGCTAAAAATGTCTTTGAGTGATTAAATCATGTGGGTTTTGGCAAAGGCCACACTTCTTTGAACCTTGTTGACTGGTGGTACAGAATCATAAAGAAAGAACTGTAGCAGATAACAGAAACCATATCACTTGAAAACCTGTAACTGCTAAAATGAGTATCACATGTAACTTGAAGAGAAAATAATGACATATTCAAGGTGTTAACACTTTACACTAATTTAAATAAAAGATTAGGAAGGAAACTCACATCAGTACTGGAAAGAGCAATAACAGCTACTGGAGAAAACCTATTTTTCTGAAAAATTGTTTTTTTAAGAGAAAGGTTTCATAAGTTTAACTGAAAGTAGTGCAAACTGCTTGGGCAATGGATACTGAATGTTTCCTCATAAGGAAATAAGTAATATTATCATTATTATATAAAATATATTTCAATGCAGTTGTTTTTCCATTGAGTTGTATGCTAACTTAATACAAATTAGCAATTTTAATCACAAATGGAATGAGTACATGAGTGTTAAAGCTGAACTATTATTTGAATAGTGCTTAAAAGTAAAATATATGATAACATTTTATGTACCTACAGTAATTTTTACTTAGTATAATCATATTGATTATTTATATGGTATATCTTTACACTTGTACTGGTATATAGTTTGTTTTTATGCTGTATACACTTGAAAAACTGAAAAACAATTTCTATAGTAAAGCAGTTTTATCAACTGGGACCTAAAGTGTATTTCTAAATCCTTGTCATTATTCATGATTTCATTATCTGATTGTGAGGATCAGCCAGACTATATGACCTCAGTATATCAAGGGTTATGGTCCTTTTGTGAATCATTGACTTAATGAATTATAAATATGATTACTGAGTTTTCAGTGTCTAATTAAGAGGATTCAAAAAAAGTATATGGAGCCCAAAACATAGACCATTCATTTCAAGTAGATAACAAAGCAAAATCTTTATGAATTATTGACTTAATCTTTTTTTAATTATATATGTATATATAAAGGGAATATTAAGTTTATAATTTTGGATTTAATTACAAAGATCCATCTGTGTCACTCACTTTCATACAGCATCAGAACAAAATAAAAAGTTAAATGAGCTTTTGATTCTTGTATATGAATTAATACACTAATTATTTTAATAGTTAATTTTTAAAATCTGTTCAATGAATGAGTATTTTAAAATAAGTCATTCATTTAAGGTTTAATTTACCTTTTTTATAATGGGATATATAATTTCAGACAACAATAATTCTCCCACATTCGATATTTCAGCTTATGAATTACCATATACTCAAGTAAAGTATAGTGTGAGTTTTTTATGATCCGATTTTCATGCAATAACTAGGTGGTACACTATACGCAGGTAAATTTTTTTTCTGGAGAGTTTGCATTATACCCAGTCACCTTATGCTCCAGATTATTTGGTATTTCCATTAATGTTTCTCTTCCTGAAACAAGGTTTTCTTTTTAAAACTATAAGTATTTTAGTTATAGATTGAGAAAAATTGCTATATCTTACAGCAATTAGCCACCAAAAGTTAGCAAATTTCTTTTCTTCAAAATTAATTTAATTTAGTTCTTAGTAATAATAGTTAATTTTGTTCTTAATAATAATATTAATAATTAATTTAGTTCTTAATAATAATAATAATAATAATAATAGTTCTAATAATAATAATTTAATCATTAAATTTAGTTCATTTAAGATCATTTATCACTCCAAATACTAAGGTCAACATTATTTATACTAGTACAAGTAATGATATATAACTAAGAAGGAAGTTATATATGGATCTGTGTGTGTTTGTATTTATTTTTTCTTATGAATACTGTTTCATGGATTTTTTTTATGCTATTGTTCACCCAATATAAGGCTCAAGAACTATTCAAGATAGAGTATTACTGAATAAAGTTGTATGGATGTAAGAATTGTTGATTAATGAGGATATGTAGGATAAATAATGGCTGACTTGAGACTTTAATAAGCTAAGATTGTAATGGCCAGGGAAGCATCTTGTTGGGAGTCTGTTCCACAAACAATGGCTCTTTGGAAGAAGCTTTCTGAATTAAACATTTTGTCAATGAAGTACAAAGAGAATGAGGGTGTTTTACCCCTGTGTACATGGTGGGTCTTAGCTGTAAAGGTCTGAACTAGGGAATGTAGCTTGTCAGTCCATTTTCCATGGAAATAGCAATAGATTAGCAATAGGCTTGGACATTGTGTCTATGGGTAAAGGGTTGCCTACAAGGCTGCATAAATGCTTTTGAACTCTATTGAGGATTTGATAGCTCCAGCCCAGATATAACAGCAATACTTTAATAAAGTGTTATATTCCTTGAAAAAAGAATTTGTATCAAAAAGAAATGAGTCATATCTTTTTAAGTTCCTTAATAAGTATTAGAATAACATTTCTAGATTGTAAATGAGTTTTACCTGAACCTAAAGGGCATAGTTTAAAAATAGCAAATGAGTCACATTTCTCTTTTATTGATCTTTTTGTTTCTTTTTCTTTTTTTCTGCAGTTGCATTTTTTCTAATTGGTTTACTTTATGAATACCCCCCTCTTGTCTATCTGAGCAAAACTGCTACACTTATTTGCTAATATTGGATTTGTTTCTCACATCTTAGACTTTTAATGCCCAGCCAACTTCATTATGGACAACAGTGATTGATCCTCATTGATTTTTAACATTGTAGATAGTTGTATCCTTCTGTATAAATAATATACTAAATAAAACATAGTTACATATATAATGAATTCTATCATGCCTTTTAAAACTCTCCTCAGAATGTGTTATCATGTGTTGAGTCTATATGATTAAATTTATTAATCTTTATCAAGAATATAATTGTTGTTATTCTTCTATTTCTTGGTAGAATTATTTAATAAGTTATAAAAATAGTTTATTATTTAGAGAAAATAATTTAGAACAAATGAATAGTGCCACAGAAATAGTAATTCAATTTTTAGATTCCCATGTCAAAGAAAGCATTTTTCTCATATAATACGACTAAAACATACTATTTTTTTATTATGACTATGTTGTAAATTTGTAAGGTGTTTATGGTAACATCTTGCTCAGATCTGTTAAGATTGAAGCATTGCAATAGATGAAGGTTACAAGGTTTGTGACCTAATATACTAAATTCAAGAAATGCTTGAAAGCAAGAATTATTCATATAGATTAATAGTTGGGGTGGGTGAATTTTTTTTTTGGCGGGGGGGGTATTTCAGGTGCTTGGGTTTTAGGTTATGCTAGGTTTTTTTTTTTTTTTTTTTTTTTTAGGCAGGGTGGGACTGAAATTATTCTAGATTGATCTGCAGGGAAGTGATAAATCTTTTTGATTTCAGATGTTAGATACAATTAAATAACATAAAAATTATTAACTACAATCTGTCTTGGGTAAATAAGAAAAAATTGATAGAAACAAGAGTTGATGGGACAAAACCTAATAAACAGTTGCAAAGATTTTTACATATTTAAATTTGTATTGAAATCTTAATTTTCAATGCTTTTAGTTTCAAATATCTCTGAGTCATTTTAAGATTAAAGCTCAGATTAATGGCTTTAAACTACAATATACCCCTTTGGAGATTAGAAATCAGGACCCATTGTATATTAAAGCAAGTCATTTTGTTCATTGATCATTGCATCATCTTTTTATCATGTAGACTATAAGAGTCAAGGATTGTTAACAAAGCTACAATAATAAATTGAAAATCTATATACAAGTCCTACTATTTAACTGATAGCTGGGAAGGAGTAGAGGTGGATTCATATCTATCCCAAGGGTATTTTCACGTATGTTAATATAACGAACCCAAAAGAAATTGAGACTCTGCTCTCTGATTTCTCATTCTAAGCTGTTATCCATTACACCACTCACACATCCAAGCTTACAGCAATTAGTATTCCCAAGTGGTCACCCATCTAGGTACTGACCAGGCCTGATATTGCTTAACTTCAGTGATCTGACTTTCAGTGTGATATGGTTTTAAAATCTTTGGATCTGTTAGATTTTTTTCTCCAGTACAAATATTTTTGTATACTTCTTTGTACATTGGAGAAATATAATAAACATCAATTAATGTTTTTGTATTTACTGCTAAGATTAAATCTTTAATTGTCCAAACCAAAGTTTGCTGTTAACATTTAACAAATTATAGACTTTGAATTTTTTATTGTAATCAATTCAATTTTTATTCTGATTTTGTAAAATCCTATACACTAATATACTAAAAGTCGTGGGGTAGGTACTTAGTATCAAGTAGGACTCTTTCTAGTCTGATGAAGTTCAATAACTCAATATGGCATTGATTTCGCAAGTGATTGGAAGACCTGTAGATGTTGAGCCATGTTGCCTTGATAGCTGTCCACAGATCCTTGATATTTATAGGTGCAGGAATGAATGGATATAAATAGATCTCTCTGCTGTGTCTCAAATGCTCAATTGGGCTCATGTTGAGCAAATGTGTTGGCCACACTATTCATTGGAAATTTCTAGAATGCTCCTCAAACCAATTTTGGGTAACTTAGGCCTGATGACCAGGTGCATTATTCTACTGGAATTACCTATTATTGTTGATGTTCATTAAGTTTACAACTGGAAGCAAATGGTCATAAAGCAGTGCATCATAATAGTCATCACTCAATATTGTGTTTAGGTCGACCCGCAGACCCAACATATGCTATATGAAAGCACTCCATACCATTATAGAACCATCACCAGTCCACACAGTGCCTAATTAACAACTGGTGTTCATGGCCTCATGGGGTTGTACCATATCCAAACCTTGCCATCAGACAAAAACAAATGGAACCTTGACTCATCAGACTATGCCACACATTACCTGTCTTCCAGGATCCAAATAACAATGTCACAAAGCCACAAAAAGTCTTCTACTCCTATATAACATGGAAACTGGACAACATTGAAGTGATCGACTGGATATGCATCTGGTATCTCCTGCATTGAATGCTGATGTGATTTGAATTTGAACTGGTGTTGTTTGTCTATTACTGCATACAATTCTAACTGGTCATAGTCGTTATGGACCTGTACTCAGTAACTTCACTGTCCATGGTGGATGGTAATACCTTCCATCAAGTAATCCCAGTACACATGTGACATTGTAGATCAAGGAGTATCAAATGTCCACACAATTTCAGAAATAGAATTACCAATTCATCTGATACCCATTACCATTTCCCATTTGAACTTCAATAATTCATGCCTTGTTATCATGACTTACCTGACATCAGAATACACCTGTTATAGGCCCGGGCATTTCCATTGCTGTTCTTATGAAGTCATATTTGATACAAGATAACTTGGAATCTTTGCTTCATGTTTTTATACTAAAATAAAAGAACTTTAAATAACATTAAATCTCTTCATGAGGTAATCATTATATGTGTCTTTATAAATATCAGATTATAGATCTTACTTGAAAACTAATGGCTTATGTCCATATCATGTTGAAACATTGGTTCTAGTCTGATCATCAAAGTTAAGCAATGGTCAGTATCTACATGGATGACCACTTGGGAATACCACATGTTGTAAACTTGGATATGTAGGTGGTGTAATGGATAACAGCTCAAAATGAGAAATCGGAGCATTGAGTTCAAATTCTAGTCAGGTTTGTTACATTCACTTGTATGCAAATGCCTTTGGGAAAATTATGACTCCACCTCTACTTCCCCCATTTGTGGGTTAAATGAAAATCATTATCCCCACAAGATTATTAATATATTATTCATTTGTTAAAAAAAAAAATTACAATCCAAAAATGTTTCTGCTTTCAATAACCTAATCCCTTGAAAACTAATTAGCAACATAATTAAAATTAAAAAAAATTGCTTTGGGTGAAGCATTTTAATGCTAACTAAACCAGTTCTAATTGATTTTAAATAATTTTGATTTACATTTGATTTTAAAACAATTACAGTACTTGTTCAATTTAAGGTAATAAAGAGATAGTAATTGATTCTTTACAGATAATTATTTGCTCTATAGAAAGATTAGTGACATTATAATGTTATTTAGACAAAAATAATTTAGTGATTAACTTTGCTTAGCCATCAAAGAAATAGTAAAAACTTTATTTTGATGTGGAATTGTAGTAATCATTTACAAATGTAATATATAATCTCTCTTTAGAATGTATCCAGCCATTTCAAATATTTCCAAAACCAGTTGCAACCAATCAAAAGAGGGAATTTACTGCACATTGGAGAGCTGAGTTTGAATTCCAGTCGGGTTCATTACTTATGTGCAAATACCCTTGGAAAAGACATGAACCCATTTTTTCTTTCTCCCAGATATAGGTTAAATAGTAGGACTTTATCTGGAGAAATCATTGTTAAATTGTTTATACAATGTTCATCCGCAAAAAAGAATTCTTATAATCTAAAATTTGTTTTGGCTCTAAATAACATACAAAGGGTTGATAAGACATAAAAATCAAGCCAATCACTGAGCAGGTGTGAACAGATACTTTTCTATGGGGTTACTCAGTTGTCAGTGAGAGGCCATTGGATAACATTGCATACAAAATGTTATAGTAGGTTCTTCATCTTATGCAGATTTTTTGGTTGGTATGAGAGAATCAAAACATCACCTCACTCAGTTCTGTCAGCTCTTTTAGTTTAGCTCCCTGTGTCTTCTGGTTTTCCCCAAAGCTGAAAAGCCCCCAGTAGTCAACAATATACTTTACAGACTGGTGTTGGTTCCATAATGTAGAATGTGTTTATATGGCATGTGTTAGGTCCACTGGTTTGCCTAAATGATAACTGCTGCATTACATTGTTTGCGAGTATTTGTACCCATTCCAGCAGGATAATACATCATGTCACCAGGCCCAAGTTATCCAGAATTGGTTTGAGGAACATTCTGGAAACTGTTGGATTGTGTGGCTACCACCAACATGTTCTCTTAACATTTACCCAAATGAGCATTTATGGGATGTAGTAGAGAGAAAATTTCCTCCTTGTCTGAGAAGGATTATTTGTAACTATCATTAAAATTAATAGATATCTGTTGTTTTTAATAATATTATTAATTTAAGTGTACTTTAAATCAACAAGTGCATATCTGGCTTTTTAGTGTAAGCATGTAGCAAAATCATGGTACTTAGAATCAGAGATTTTAATACATACATTAGACAAGTATATATTCATGGAATTTTACTGGGTCAGCTTCACTGATCCTTACTTTTGTAAAATACAAAACAATTCAATAAAAGATCTGCTACACAAATAAAATAAGAACAGTAAAAAAAAAAATTGCAGAAAGCAATTACAACTTTTGCTCAGACTTGCAAAGAGTTTACTTTTCACAATTAAACTGAATTGATTGTTTTGTTTTTTTATAGCAGCTTATTAATCTTTTGCAGGTTATTTAAAGCTAGAAAATATTTTTATATTCTAAGAATTTTTTGATACAAGTTCTACTAATTAACTAGAAGAGTTCACTATATAGAAATGGAAAATTCCCCTATCTCTATGTAATGGACTTTACTGGTAATGTAAAAAAGTACTTTGTATATGTGTATAGGGATTAAAATTAGTCTTGTATATTTGCAGTTATATCTCTTATATATTCAAACATACCCACACAAGATAAAAAGTAACAATTTTACTTTTATTATTTCAAATGAGAAACTATTCATGACCCCAACCCTATATTATATTAATAATTTATCCTTCTATTTGTTTTTACCACTCTATATTACATATCAGTGTAGGTTGGTAATAAAGCAGACAACTTGTAGCTGTGAGTTTTTTTGTTCATAATACTATTAAGACATACTGAAAAGAAAAACTGATTGAAAATCAGGAGGATAAAAGGTATTTCCCATCACAGTCAATTGTATAAAATTTACCTTTGACTATTTTAAAGCATATATATAATAAGAATTCATAAACAACATTATTTTTACATAGGGTGAATTTTTGAGGTGCTGAGTTATTGCTAAGAATTACATTAGACGTTTTGAATTTTTTATAATAAATGATAAATCTAAGGTATACACTTCAATATACAATCTCCTATGGTGAAAGATATTTTATTTAATGGTTGTTTCTTTTGTATTATAATGGCTTCTAGAATTTTAAGTCTTTCTTTGCCATAAGTCCTGTATAATATTTTTTATGTTATTTATTAAAATTTGTCTTATGTTTTACACACACAGACGTGTGTGTGTGTATATGCACTGGCAGTTTGCCAAGTTGGAATGCTCTTGAGCTTGATAGTACCTCCTACTTAATAATTTATCTTTACCTGATATATTATTTATAATATATTTGGTTTTTTTTTATTTACACACATACACAAAATATAATTTTAAATACATGTTCACCTATTCTACAAACATATATAAGCATTTACCTACATCTTCTGAACATGTATATATTCTACATGTGCATACATATAACATAAATGGTTTTAATTTGCTTTCAATAGACATGGCTACTCTCTCGTGACCCTTACTTTGGCTTTGAGCCAAAATCTCTTAAACTGGCTCAAGCTGCTAAGTTAGCTGCAGTGTTTTATTTTTTACTGTCAGATTAGTTCAGTAATCTTAGGCTTGACATTAATTAACATTATAACATTGTTTCCCTCCTGTTACTGTTTGAAAACAATGATTGTACCCAAGTTGCTAGTGAATTCAGTGCAGATACGTGTAGACTCAAAAGCAATCTACTAAACATGGCACGACAGATCCATCTGCTTTCAATTATGAATTAATTGCTTACTAGAAATTGTATCTGAATCAGATCTTTACAGGAATGTCCCCTTATAGTGATTGCTAGCATTGTACTTATTATAGAACAATGATAGATTTGAACTTTCCAAAATGTTTTGCAAACATGGTCTTGTGTTGAGTTTAATGAAATATATATATTTTTTTTTTTTTTATAAAACTTTCTATAGAAAAATATTTTTTCCACCAAAAGCTAACTTTCATAAT